AGGATGAAGAGAAGGACGGGGAATAGATCAAGGCATCTGTAGGCGTGATAGAGGAAAGGATGAAGAGAAGGACGGGAATAGATCAAGGCATCTGTAGGCGTGATAGAGGAAAGGATGAAGAGAAGGACGGGAATAGATCAAGGCATCTGTAGGCGTGGTAGAGGAAAGGATGAAGAGAAGGACGGGAATAGATCAAGGCATCTGGAGGCGTGATAGAGGAAAGGATGAAGAGAAGGACGGGAATAGATCAAGGCATCTGGAGGCGTGATAGAGGAAAGGATGACGAGAAGGACGGAGAATAGATCAAGGCATCTGGAGATGTCGATTAACATTGCATTTGAATAGTTGGAGATTATAGCTATCATGGAAGCAAGTCAGAAAAAAGGAGTTCCACAGACAGAAAGTGCCCGACATGAAGCTATTGGAGTAGAAGAGACGGCTACATTTAACAGTTTCGACAGTTAAAGGGTGGTACTGAGATGCCATCCTAGTAGCACGCTTAAACTTATGCAGTTTGGATATCAGCGAAAGTAGCTCGTCGGAGTAGTTACCGTGAAAGTATTTGTAGAAAAGACAAAGGGAGGTGACGTCACGTCTGTGAGTGATCGACTGTAAACGAGATGCCAGCACAGGGCCAATCACGTTGCATATACGTCTATGGATTTTGTCGAAGACCTTAAGACGAACAGCAGGGTCTCCAGTTTCCGTTGTTTTCTTTACGGTTTGGAATTCAGAATGTACTTCTCTTAGTCAGGTTGCTACCCAGGGCTTAAAGTACCCGCTTTAATTCGCTTCATCGTTTGGAATTCACATTTTACATTTTATCTTCTTTCCATTATTTGATGATTTCACCTCAAGCATAGCAATAAGACGCAATCGGTTACTGAGTGTGAAAGGCAGAAGATAGCGATTAACGTTGCATTTAGATTTTTGAAGATCAAAGTTGGCTGGAAAGCAAGAAGCCGGGAGAGAGTTCCACAAGCGAGAAGTGCGAGAGAAGAAACTATTCGCATAGAACCTACGGCTACAGCTAGCCTTTTCAATTGTAAAACGATGAGACCTAGCTGCCAGTCTAGTACTGCGCTTAAATTCCCAAAGTCGAAGTAGCAAAGAGGAAAGCTCATCGGAACAATTACCATGAAAATATTTAAAGAAAAAGCATAGGAGGACTACAGAGCCCTATCGACTTTGGTAGATATATCTGGTATGGGGTAAAAGATGGATTCATGCCTTTCCCAATGAAGTTTGTGTGAATGCGAAGACAACACAACACATGGGGCCAGAATTTGAACTCAGTTCGCTCATTCCACTTTCAGCGTCGATAACCGGTACACCATCCGCACATAGGCTCCGTAATATTTGATTTAGTTTCTAATCACCGACATTTTTTTCTTTTGGACTCTCAATGTATTTTTCATAATAAAATGTATTTTTAAAGACTAATGCTTACAAGTATAAATGAATTTGTATAGTTCGTTTGATACTCGCATGTTTCCTTCCGGTGCCAGCGGTCAAGTTTCGATTTTAGTTAAAAGTCCGAATTTCGAATGCTGTTTTCGAAAGCAGGATCGAGTTTCTTTACTGTGAAAATTGTCTCAACGCAATCTTCCAACCTACATTTGGACTAACACCGTATTAGAGTAACCGTATTTTTTTATTTGATTTGTACGCACTACAAGACACAAGAGCCGCTCAGGGCAGAAAATGAAGTTGTTGTAAGGCCGTAAAGGGAGGAATTAACACGTGTATAATATGAGGATATGCAGGATATATCACGATTGACTGTAAACTTGGAGAGCTTAAGTTCGTGGTGATCGGAGAAGCATCCTCTCAGATGTCCATTGCCCAGAGTGAGAGTTCTGTAGAAAATTTGATTTGATTTGATTTGTTTGTTCAACGGCATGTCAACAACTTATGGGTCATTTAATGCCGAAATGTAATTGGGAGGAGGCTTTGAAGTAATAAAAATATGATATAGATTATTCTGCTTTCACAATTGACTACATGGTAGATAATACTCAGCTTTTGTGCATATACATGTTTGTGTGGACATAATTACTAGAGGCGGTGATATGTGTGTTTTATGTTGTAGTTTGTTGAAGTTATATTTTGGAATACAGTTTGATTTCTATAAGAAATTGTAGGATATTATATGGATTAATGTCACGAAAGAGTTCTTGATGTATTGACGGCAATTTATGTATTGTTTGTAATTTTTTCTATAAACGTATTGCGGATATTTTTTACTATAAAAATGTATATTTATACTTTCCTAGTGTAGTGATTTTTGTTTGTAGGGGTTACTATTTGCCCATAGCTGGGACCCTAACAGGTGCTACCACCCCGGGTCAGTGTGGACCTGGAAACAATGGCAGTTAAGACGCGGTTCCACACTCCTGGAAACCTCTTTCTCCCGATAAGAGGCCTTGCTGCCGGATGTAGCATATCGTCATACCCAGGACTAATTTCTAGAGAAAAAGCTGCCTGAGTGAAACTTCTTCCTTACTTATGGAATATAAAATGGAATAAAGATTTGTCGGCCTTGTGTATTTGGCCTAACAGTTCCTATATATGAAGGTCTGAACTGGTGGAACTAAGCTAGTTTGAACATTCGCCATAAAGGTAACGATGAGAACCTAGCAACGTTTCGTCTGTGGGAAAGTGGTTTTAGGGTGGAAAGTGTTTCATCATCCACAAGGCCGCGCAAACAATTTCGAACTCTGTCAAGGCCGGGAAGTGATGATTGAGCAGCCTCAGTCCAGCATAGTAAAGAAGTTATATATCATTTCTTTACTGAATTTTTAAATTAGCTCTCGTGTTTTTTCATCTTTTCTCGACAGCCGACGTGGTTAGAGCGTTAGTATTCTGACCATTAGACCCGGCTTTGATTCTCATCATAGCCGATTTGTCGAGAAGGTGACTTTGTGATGCTTATCGGTCTGGGGAGACGATCCCAGCCTTCAGCAGCGTTAGGGAGTGTGTGAGAAATCTAATGCAGGTTGACCTAAAACTTGCGAGTGAAGTTGCGTATACGAAACACTTCGGAAGCCATCGATAGTTCAATATAAATAGTTTTCGCTGTAATTAAGCATTTGCAAATGAATCAAGAGTTCAGAATTTTTTTTTCGGTCGAGCCGGCTTGAACATCCATGGGACTATCACACCAACCATCACAGTCCTACACCAAGCTCGGAAGGTCATTAGGGCGGCATTCTGTGTCATAGAATAATTGATCAATGTAGATAACTGTATAGCGACCGGCCCGTCTTGCGCCATGACTAGGTGTCCAGAGCAGTAGATCACTCGAAAGTCCTTGTTTTGCTCGCCTGCAGTGTCCTGCGTTCACGTAAGATAATTTCAGGGTGACCGGCCTGTCTTTGACTAGGTGTCCCTGCGAAAGTCCTTGTTTTGCTCGCCTGCAGTGTTCTGCGTTCACGTAAGATAATTTCAGGGTGACCGGCCTGTCTTGCGCCATGACTAGGTGTCCAGAACAGTAGATCACTCGAAAGTCCTTGTTTTGCTCGTCTGCAGTGTCCTGCGTTCATGTAAGATTGTAGAAATAGAGATGGGTCCATAGAACAGCGACTATTTGGATGCCGTCGTCAAGAAATATTAAGTATAGCTCTCAGCATCCAAGTGTAGGCTCCATCAAGCTTAGAAACATGGGTTTTAGTAAATGTCCAAGCGGCGGCAGCAGAAATTAAAACCAGCCCTACAGTGTCGCGAAAGAATCTCCGTTTCAGTTTGGTTGGCAGATCAGATTGCCAGATGAAATCTTATTCAGAGCGGCCCAGGCTTTAGCTCTGCGGATTTTCATATCTTCACTTTTGAGTAGAATTTATTTCGCTGTCTAGGTATGCAAATATTTCGATAGATTTTATTGTTTCGCCTGAGAGAGTTTGCATTGAGCCTTGCTGGTTGAAAGGTTAATTACAATCTGTTTCAGTATTAAATGACCCATAATGTGGCTCATATGGCGTTAACAAAAACGATGGTAAGAAACTGGAGTTAAAAGTAAACGTATTTTATTATTTATTTATTTTATTTTATTTTTGAATTTTTGGTTCGAATCCTTTATCTGCCCGCCACCCCCATGAAAAGAAAAGTAACAAAAAAACAAGGGTATTTTGTGTTCATTTAATTTGTCACATCGAGTCCTGCTAAAAATGCTTTTACTCAGAATATTAAAATCATAGAAATAGGTTTGTGTATGATCTTGATAGCAAGACCCTGAAATATGCAGAGAAATAAAAAAGAAACCCTCAAATATTGAAATTTGATGATAAAAAAGAAAATAAATGATATCTCCGCCTGCGGCAGAATGCGCAACTCACACAACTGAAGAATTTGAGCGACTGGTCGTTTTCATGGGCCAATTCATCCGCACAATTGGTCTCAGCTTGTTGAAAGAAGCGTGATTTATCCAGTCACCATCTATAAAATAGTTGCTAACAAAGGTTATAGAGCCCAGTCTGTCTTACTATTTAACCCATAGCTTGGGGGAGAAAAGATGGATGCGTACCTTTCTCAAAGGAAAGTATGCATACATCCAACATGTAAATCAATATAACAAACTCGGCTGGAGTTCGAACTCGGCTCTCCGAATTCTCCTTCCGATCCGCCGTCCATTACATCACACTGAAATCCCGAGATGAAGCAATCAGTACTTTAATAGAACGTTCTGACGAGTTAACCTCTCCGCTATTAGCTGACCAGTCGAATAATTAATGAATAATTAATGGACCCTCTTAATGAAGACCACGAAAGGACGATTCGTGTATATAAGTGATGCGTTATATAAATTGGCATTAGTTAAGGCTAATCCTGTCCGTGTGTTTATAAAAGGTATTTATCGAGGGAGGACGGACAGCTTTCATTTTGTGGATGAATATTTGTGGGGTTAATCCGCCCTGGGAGCTACCACGAAGGGCGAATGCATGGAAAAGTAATAAACAAAGATTTGGATATCGGAAAGTACAAATACAAAATGGCGGGCGTATTTATTTATTGGCGCATGCGCTCGGGGGATCATTATGAGAGAGGAGAGTCGGACTCTTCGATAAATCAATCAATGCTACTGTTAAAAGGGCCGCTTTACTATCCAAGCACGTCTCGTATTCTCTAGTGTCTACAGGTTAGAATAGAATGAAAACGGAGGGCAACGAATTTTTATCAAAATTATTGTTAAAACGGCTGTGTTCATATTTAAGCTTGCACGATATTTTTCCGGTGTTTGAAAAAAACACGAAAAGAAGAAAGAATTAATGATAACGAGGATCAGAAATGATTCAGTCTATAAGATCAGTAAATTAGACTTTCTTTAGTGAAAAGTGGTACCATTTGCAATATGTTGTGATCGCGGTCTGTCATTTTTAAGAAGACATACTTTTTATTTTTTGTCTTTCATTGGAGATGAAGTGACAACAAGTATTTCTAATATTCCAGCACTTTCCTCATTATTCAAAATGATTTTTGTTATACTGGATAGTTTTGACTATTAATCGGATTTCTAATTATCCCTAACTCTTTGCAAGACTATTCTGTACAAGTTCAAGTGCTCCAAAATCCACTGGAACGACTGTCACCTTCTTCCCCAACTATAGATCTTTTTATAATCTTCTTGAATGTCGACATCTATATCTGACAGATTATCTTAGTTAATCCTAATAAACTTCTCACCAGTATCTATATATAAAATTCTGTGTCGTCTGTTACTGCGTCACAACTTTTAAATAGACATGCATATATTGACCGATAAAAATCGAATTTTGGAAATAATTACATACAGATAAAGGGGTATTGTATTATTAGGGTGTGTGGATTAGTCACAATAAAATTTCTTTCATATTTGTTGAAAAATTAAAAGTTTTATTATTTAACATACAAAATACTCCCACTATTTAAAAATAAATTTAATGATTAAAATAACAAATACTTATTTAATAAAAATGCAATATTGTTTTTTTTTGTATATCTTTTTTTTGAGTTTTTATATATACAAGAATCCAGTCTCCAGTTGGCCCTGCGTTTGTGAGAACTATAAACAAATCACAAGTTGAAAAAGTTGGAATTTGGCTCCAGAAATAAATATTGATGCATGGCCAGTTATATGTTGCATGCTCAAGTGTAAGAAATCTTAAGAATTTACTTTTCACTGGGGAAGAAAAGAAATTTTCTTAAAAATATTGTTTACCATAAATAAAATAAAATTAAATTAAAGAAATTATTATTCTGCAAAGTAGGGATTTTGTAAAAGTATTTTTTCAAACAAAATTCACATTTCATTGATTGGTTTGAAACATTGAATGAAACGTGGAGTTTGTAAATCTCCACAAAATGCTAGCGATAAGTTTAGCAATTCTAAATACTGCGAGGATTTTAGCACACATTAATGGTTTGCAAGAAAATTCTAGCTATCTATATTTTTAGTTTTCCTAATTTGCTATTTAATACAATCCTTTTCTAAATCTGCCTGGGACGAGGCAGACGAGGTATTTTTTTATAATGTTATCAAGTATCTGCCTGTATTTCTGAGATGAGATGAGGTATTATGTACACTATATTTTACACTATTCGGACTATTGTCCTCATCTCATCTTTGTCGCATCATATTTATCACCCTTCAGTATCTGTCTATATTTCTGAGATGAGGTATTATGTACACTATTTACACTATTTACACTATTCGGACTATTGTCCTCATCTTTGTCATATTTATCAACCTTCGGTATCTGTCATATTTATCACCCTTCAGTATCTGTCTATATTTCTGAGATGAGGTATTATGTACACTATTTACACTATTCGGACTATTGTCCTCATCTTTGTCTATATTTCGCCATATTTATCATCCCTTCACCCTTCAGTATCTGTCTATATTTCTGAGATGAGGTATTATGTACACTATTTACACTATTCGGACTATTGTCCTCATCTTTGTCGCCATATTTATCAACCTTCAGTATCTGTCTATATTTCTGAGATGAGGTATTATGTACACTATTTACACTATTCGGACTATTGTCCTCATCTTTGTCGCCATATTTATCACCCTTCAGTATCTGTCTATATTTCTGAGATGAGTATTATGTACACTATTTACATTATTCGGATAATGTCCTCATGTACACTATTTACACTATTCGGACTATTGTCCTCATCTTTGTCGCCATATTTATCACCCTTGTTATCTATATTTCCCTATTTACACTATTCGGACTATTGTCCTCATCTTTGTCTATATTTTCTGTCTATATTTGATGAGGTATTATGTACACTATTTACATTATTCGGACTATTGCCCTCATCTGTCGCCATATTTATTACAACGTTTACGCTCCGGCTTTAACCAGGTGGTTGGAATGTCGAACTGAACCCTTAATTTCGCTCACTGGGTTAGACACATGGCACAGTGGATAAAGGCGTTGGTTAGATCCAGTGACAGGACCCAAAGAGTGTGAGTTCAATACCAGGTTAAGGCAGTGGAGAACTTGGAGAGGGGAATTAACAGGAGATAACTAATAACTGACATCCATTAAACATGTCACATGGAACTAGAACAGTGAGCGAAATAAAGGGTTCAGTTCGACATTCCAACCACCTGAAGAAGGCCGGAGAGTATAACGACTGAAAAGTAATAAATATGGCGACAAAGATGAGGACAATAGTCCGAATAATGTAAATAGTGTTATCAAGCATTTTTTTCAATGGATGGTTGCCTTTTAACATGTATAACTGCTTTTCCAATTTCCCTGTAAAATTTCTTAAGCTTCATTTCGTATATTTTATTTTGGCGATAGAACCTAGAACATTTTTCGTATTTTCTGTGTATCAGTTTCTGTTTAGCATTTTTCTTGATGGATGGAATTTCATTTAGTGATTTAATTTTATATTTCCGCTTGATCTTCCTGCATTTGCGTGTTGAGACATTCGCTTTTCTTCTCAGCTCATCTCGTAGCGAAATCTCACATTTGATTTCTTTTATTTCTTGCATCAGTTTTACCTTCCAAGCTGGATCTTATCGTCTGCTGTTTTCATTGTCTTGACCCAAGCTTCCCAGTAGCTGCTAAAGCTGTTGCGTATATAACATTATTTACTTTCTTTTTTCCCATTGGTTTAGCCGTTAACAGTGTTTCCAATGCAGCGTTGTATGTTTGCACAGTGTGCTTATTGGACATTATATGAATTTTGTGGGGCTGGTCTCTGTCTGACATTTGTGTGAGAGTTACTCTGCTGAGTACTTGGATGACGTGGTTTTTCGCCTCGGTGATTTCACCTCTGTGGTTTTCAAGGAATTCTACCCTAATGTAACTGGACTCATATTCAGTGACATTGTCTGGATAACTGCAGGTTATGTCACAAGTAGATTCTTCGGTTTTATTTCTTCTTCTTCTTCATCATTATTATTATTATTATTATTATTATTATTATTATTATTTTCTTTGATTTCTGGCGTTTTACATTTCTTTCCGGGTCCCCTTAGGACCTAAGGTTAGAAATGGCATCATGACACTTTCTACTGACAAAAAAAAAAAAAAAGAAAAAAATATTACATAGATAAAGCCCTTCGTAAAGTGTGGGCTGTACTTGTCAGAAATTTTTTTTGTATCTCCTTGAGGCATGGACCTCCAGGAATCCCTTCAATTAGTCTACTGCAATCTTTTCCAACCAGTCCTAGGGCTCCAACTACAACAGGAATTGTTGATGTTCCCATATGCCACATTTTCGAGATTTCTATTTCAAGGTCCTTGTATTTTGACAGCTTTTATTATTATTATTATTATTATTATTATTATTATTTCCGGTTTCTCCGCTTTTCTGTTTGATACAACACTTTACCAAGAGACTTGAGGCAGAAGAAGGTTTTTCTCTTTAGACTTAACAAACATTACATAAAGAGGAGCTTTCTGAATGTGTGAATGGTGCCGACGAGCAAGATCGTTTGTATCTCAGACAGAAAGCGATTTCCGAGGATTTTTCTTAATGTGCATATCAGAATTCTTTTCAATCATTCCCAGTGCTATTATTATTATTGCTTTTCGTACACTAGAAACAAAACCAAGAATTCGAACAGAAAGAAAGAGAAATCTCGAAAAAGAATTCTTGTCTCAAATGTAGAGATAATACTTAAAAAAAAAATCAATTCACCCCAAGCAAGGTGATCATTCCACTAAGACACAAAGAGCTACTGGGAGTGAAAGAGAATGAAAATATTTAGAAGGAACAGGAAACTCGATCCTAAACATGGAACAAGGGATAAAATTCTACTCCTGTTCAAAAGAGTGGAGGGGAGTGTGAACCGGACGACAGGCCAACCTATGTAGTCCGTGGAAACTATTGAAACATAAAAATAATCTTTAGTTCGTTTGTACACAAAACACCAGTAGGTATTTAAAAAAATAAATAAACAGGTAGATAGATAGGAGGTGTGATAGATAGATAGAAGGAGGTGTGATAGATAGATAGATAGATGAATGATAGATAGAATGAATAGATAGATCTGAATAGACTGGAAGATAGATAGATAGATAGATAGATAGATAGATAGATAGATAGATAGATATGAACACACTGAGATTGATAACTAGGAGTTGTGATAGAGGGTTCTGAATAGACTGGAAGGAGATAGATAGATAGATAGATAGATAGATAGATAGATAGATAGATAGATAGATAGATAGATAGATCTGAATAGACTGGAAGATAGATAGATAAATAGATAGATAAATATATAGATAGAGAGATTATTTAGAATAAATTTTATACTGTTGACACGACACTGACCGATGTATTCTACGGCAATCTTCATTTATATAATTTGTATGGATATGGTAATGGTGTCATATTGTTTGAATTGGTAGTACAAACTGGAAAATAGTAGCAAACAATGAAAAAAAAACTGCTCTCGTTACTATTGCTGGCTACTCTCACTGATTTTCTTGTTTTTATTTCATCGTTCTTTCATCAAAACAAAAAGAGCAACCTCGCCTTTTTTCCCCAGACGCCCTGTACACCTAGAAAGAAGGCCGTACATGGGATTAGCCGGAACGCTGAAATAACAACAAAAATGAGAATCCGAACAATTCTTACAATGATTGCTTTTATTTGTTTCTTAATTTTTTTCTTCTTTTATTCGGCGTTTAATTATACGAGGTGGATACTGAAAATTTATTGGCTGGACTCAAAATCGGGCCAAATGGTATAACATTTTGTTGGGGTGGGGGAGCGTCTTGGTCAGGCCGAGGACCATTCAGCAACTCCTTGCATTTTAGTAGATTTCTCTTTATTTTACTTTCCAATTTATTTTCTTTTTGTGGATGCATTGTTTGACGCTATATTTCTTTCTTTCATTCTCAATATTACTTTGTTTGAAGCATTTTATTTTTCCTTCCTTCCTTTCTTCCTTCCTTCCTTCCTTCCTTCCTTCATTCATTCATTCATTCATTCATTTGCCCTAATGTTTCTATGTTTCATTCTCGAAATTGCTTTGTTGAAATGTCTTTCTTTCCTTCTTTCTTTCTTTCTTTTGTTGGGGACAATATTTGACCCAATGTATTTATCGTTTCATTCTTAATATTACTTTGTTTGAAGCGTCTTTGTTTTTCCTTCTTTCCTTCCTTGCTTGCCATCTTGGTTCCTTTCTGCCTTCCTTTCTCCCTTCCTTCCTTTCTTTTGACCCTATGTCTCTTTCTTTCATTATGTTTGGTTTCTTTCTTTTTTCTTTCTTTCTGCCTGCCTGCCTGCCTGCCTTCCTTCCTTCCTTCTCAACCTTCCTTCCTTCCTTCCTTCCTTCCTTCTTCTTCCTTCCTTCCTTCTCAACCTTCCTTCCTTCTTCCTTCTCAACCTTCTTTCCTTCCTTCCTTCCTTCCTTCCTTCTTCCTTCCTTCTCAACCTTCCTTCCTTTCCTTCTCAACTTTCCTTCCTTCCTCTTCCTTCCTTCCTTCCTTCCTTCTTCCTTCCTTCCTTCTCAACCTTCCTTCCTTCCTTCCTTCTCAACCTTCCTTCCTTCCTTCTTCCTTCCTTCCTTTCCATTCCTTACTTCCTTCCTTCCTTCTCAACCTTCCTTCCTTCCTTCACAACCTTCCTTCCTTCCTTCTCAACCTTCCTTCCCTTCCTTCCTTCTTCCTTCTCTCAACCCTTCCTTCCTTCCTTCCTTCTCAACCTTTCTTCCTTCCTTCCTTCCTTCCTTCCTTCCTTCCTTCCTTCCTTCCTTCCTTCCTTCTCATTCCTTCTCAACCTTCCTTCCTTCTCAACCTTCCTTCCTTCCTTCCTTCCTTCTCAACCTTCCTTCCTTCCTTCCTTCTCAACCTTCCTTCCTTCCTTCCTTCCTTCTCAACCTTCCTTCCTTCCTTCTCAACCTTCCTTCCTTCCTTCCTTCTCAACCTTCCTTCCTTCCTTCCTTCTCCTTCCTTCCTTCCTTCCTTCCTTCCTTCCTTCTTCTCAACCTTCCTTCCTTCCTTCTCAACCTTCCTTCCTTTCAACCTTCCTTCCTTCCTTCCTTCCTTCTCCTTCTTCTTCTTTCTTTCCTTCCTTCCTTCTCAACCTTCCTTCTTTCTTTCTTCCTTCCTTCCTTCTCAACCTTCCTTCCTTCTTCCTTCCTTCCTTCTCAACCTTCCTTCTTCTCAACCTTCCTTCCTTCTTCAACCTTCCTTCCTTCCTTCCTTCCTTCCTTCCTTCCTTCCTTCCTTCCTTCTCAACCTTCCTTCCTTCCTTCCTTCCTTCCTTCCTTCTCTTCCTTCCTTCCTTCCTTCTCAACCTTCTTCCTTCCTTCCTTCCTTCCTTCTCAACCTTCCTTCCTTTCTTCCTTCCTTCTCTTCCTTCCTTCCTTCCTTCTCAACCTTCCTTCCTTCCTTCCTTCCTTCTCAACCTTCCTTCCTTCCTTTGTTTCTTTCTTTCATTGTCAAAATCACTTTTTTGAAACTTGTTTCTTTTTTTTTCTAATCCTGTCTTTGATTTATTGATCGATTGATTTCTTTTCTACAGCTTATCGATCCTTTGCATAGACATGACATTGATTAAGCTTATGGGGATATGATGGGTAGGGATACAGAGGCGGCAAAATTATACTTCCTTAAAAGGTCATAATTCGCCTTGAAAATCAGCATTAGAGATTCCAGCTTCTACTTGTGCTCAAACAGTGACGAAAGATGCCAGTTGAAAATTCCCAAGTACCAAATTCTACTTTCTTTTAAGGATGCATGCGATCATGTCTCTCCATAACTTCCTTTCCTTTGTAACTCTTAGTAAGTTTTGTCTTTTTGCTATCTTTCCTAATCCCAGTTTTGCCTATCATTTACACAAACTCGTTAGTAAGGTTATGAGCTGCTTTCCTTTGTTTCATTTGCCTTCAATATGTCATGTGAGTGATAAATTTGCTAAGCCTTCTTTCCTCATTATGTACCTTAGAAATTTCTATTGTTTCTTTCTGATTCTAAATAGATGTGTCGTGTCATTTTGTTCCTATTAACAATTTTTCTCCTTAAAACCTTCTCGTTACTCATATATTCAATCCATGGTATTCTCAGCATCCTTCTGTAGAACTACATTTCTCTTGTCTTATGTCTCTTCATCTGTGAGTAGATTGTCCAGCATTCACTGTCACATAGGAGGACCAACATTACGTAATAGTTCAGTACACTTTACTTTGTTTCTAAGCAAATTTAATCTAAGTTTCTTTATACTTTACTTAGCTTTTGGAAGGCGTCTTTCGATATGCCAATACGCCTTCGGATTTCTGTGTCACACTTTCTGTTCTCTGTTAAAACACTCCAGCTTAGCTGAATATTTTAATTATCTTTTTATTTCTTATATTATTTGTATCCTCATCTGTTATCCTCATCTTCATTGCCATATTCAAAACGTTTCGGCCGTTGTACGCTCCGATCTTCTTCACGCGATTGGAATTTCCAAACGAACCCTTTATTCCGTCCACCGGAATAGATTATTCTAGTTCAACGTGTCATGCCTCTTCTGGATGTCTCAGTTATTTCCCTTTGACTCAACTCCCCAAGGTTTGGTTCAGCACAGTAGCTTTGTACTGAACTCACAATTCTTAGGGTCTAGTCACTGGATCTAACCAACGCCTTTATCCACGAAACTTTGTGAACATGACAATGAAGATGAGGATAACTGATCGAATAATGTAAATAATGTAAGTAATCATAATACCTCATCCCATAGATGTAGGCAGATATTCCAATCAGCTGAAGAATACCGGAGCGTACAATGACTGAAACGTTGTGAATATGGTAATAAAGATGTGAATAACAGTCCGAATAATGTAAATAATGTAAGTAATCATAATACCTCATCTCAGAGATATAGACAGATATCTTTTTATTTTAACTTAAAAGTATAGGAATGAAAAGTGCATCTTAAATCGAATTGCCAGAATTTGTAACTTCCTGTTCCAGCATTACTGAGAATAATATGGACAGAAAATGTGAGCAATGGTGAAGTCTTGGTGAAAATGGAAACAAAAAGAACACTAATGCTTAACATCAGGAAGAGGAACTTTAAATTCCTTAGCTATATAATGAGGAAAGAGGCCTTGGAAAATTGGATACACACAGGACAGATTGAAGGCAAGAGGGCCAGAAGAAACACAGTTATGTGCCATCCGTGATACACGTTTAGGCGATCATATATGTTTCGATATATGACAGACGAGGCAGATTTTTTCCCCGCAGTAGTTTGCCATTTCTTTCTGCAGTAGACCAGTTGCCTTCCAATGCCAGAAAACCCTGTCTCTCCTCCTATTTACCCATAGCTGGAGGGAGAAAGTCAGTTATGTGCCATGCGTGATACACGCTTATGCGATCATGTAACTCTCGATACAGGAATGACGAGGCAGACTTTTTCCCGCAGAAGGCTGCCATTTCTTTTTGCGGTAGACCAGCTGCCATCTAAGGTTAGAGAACCCCGTCTGTCTTCTTATTTACCCATAGCTGGAGGGAGAAAGTCAGTTATGTGCCATGCGTGATACACGGTTGGCGATCATATATCTTTCGATACATAACTGACGAGGCAGTTTTTTTCCCGCAGTAGGTTGCCTTTTCTTTCTGCGGTAGACCAGTTGCCATCCAAGGCTGGAGAATCCGGTCTGTCATGCTATTTAACCATAGCTGGGGGAGAAGAAGAGGATTCATACCTTTTCCAAGAGTATTAGCACGTAAGTGAATGTAATGGATTTGGAATGGAATTCGAACTCGGTTCTCCGATTCCTCAATCCAAGCCGCTATACAGAATGCTGTAAGAATGCATAAACTATCTAACGAGTTTGTGTAAATGACTAGCAGAACTGGGGTTAGGAGAGATAGCAATTTAATTTTTTCTATTGTACTTGGCTCCTTTCATGTTTTAATAATTGCGTCGCAAGCAAGGCAATAAAGCCTCTAAGATACAAGAGGTTACTGAGCGTGAAAGAATAAGAAAAAGAAAAGAAAACATTATTAAGGAGCGAAAACGATAAAAGAGGAATCAAGAAGAGAATAAATCAAGATTGACATTGCATTTAAATTTTTGAATATCAAAGTTGGACGAAAAGCAATGAACCGGAAGATAGTTCCACAGGAGAGAAGTGCAGTAGAAGAAATTGTTTACATAGAACTTACGGTTACATCTAGCCAATTCAACTGTAAAATTGTGAGATCTTGCCGCTAATTTAGTACTGCGCTTAAATTGGTCGTTTAGGTACCATAGTGGAAAGTGACTAAAGCAAGGGCCAATGACATACATAATATCTATCCTACCTCCTCTTTGGATTTTATCAAGAATATCTAAATATATAATAGAAACACCAGATCATATGTGCCAAAAATATTCGAAGCGTGGACAAATGGTAGACGTATAGATATGTAAGATAGACTCTGGAGATAAAAATTGTCTAGCACGACAAAGTGAACAAACTTTCCTAGCAGTAGACCTAGCAATAATTTCTTTTGTTCATTTTCTTATTTCTTTTTCTTTGATTTTAGATTTTTTTTTATTCCTTCCTTGCTTCTTTTTTTCCTTCTTTTTTTCTTTGTTTCTATCTTAACTTGTTTGATTTCTTTTCATCATTCTCTCGTTCCATCTTGTCTCATTTCTTTATCCTGGTTCTTTCTTTCTTTCTTTCTTTCTTTCTTTCTTGTTTACTTGTTTTCTTTTCCTTTGTTACTTTCCACCACTTTTCTTTCGTTTTTTACCTTTGTCTTTCTTTCTTTCTTTCTTTCTTTCTTTCTTTCTTTCTTTGATTTTCTTGATATCAATGTCTTTCCCTTCTCTTGATAATGTTTTCCTTTTCATTTCTTTCGCTATCACTTTCATTTATCTTTCTTCTTTTTTTAATTTTCTTATTGCTTTTCTTTCTTTTTATGCTTTCTTTGTTTCTTTCATTTTTTTCGTAATTTTTCCCCTTTTTCTTTTCTCTTCTTCCTTCACATATTTATTCACCTTTTCCTTTACTTTCTCCTTTCTTGAATGTTTTCTATCGTTCTTTGCTTCTCTGATTTTTCTTTTTTATAATTTTTCTTTCTTTTTTCTTTCCTAGATTTTTTATTTATCTGTCTTATATTTCTTCGTTCCTTCTTTCTTTCCTTTTCGTTTCTTGTTTTCTTTTAATCTTTTTTAATTCGCTTCATTCTTTCTCTTCTTTCTTCATTTTTTTTTTCTTTCTTTCTTTCCCCCGCAAGCTAGCTCTTTCTTTCTCGCCTGCATGTGTTGCGTTGTGGCTTCTTTTCCGCCTGTGTATGCGTCTGTCCTGCTTTGAAACAGTGGATGATGGTCCACTAAAGTATTCATTAAGAAGTATTTTTAATAGCTTCTTTCACTTTGCAACACCGTCGGACATCCCTAAAATTAATAAATGAAATATAAACAACCGCTAACGTCAAGTCACTCGCCGGCATTTACACAAAATTTGACGAAGGATTTAAAAAAGCAGTTGCGGCCTTCGCGCACGCGCATAAATCCGTCGTTATAACCATGGGTTTGTCAATTTCGTACTATTTTTATCATATTGACGCGAAACGTGTCTTCCGTCCCTTTGCACGGCTGCAATGGTCACTGAGAAGAATAGAAGATGACTCGACGGGAGGTTTTGGCCTACTATTCACTAGTCTCTGTTGTTTATAAGCGAGAACGTCGCGTGTAAAGGATTTCTTCAGACTTAAAATTTTCTTGCTAGTGTTTCTATGATTAATTCGATCTTTTGTCATACTTAACTTTTACAGTTCTTTCTTTCTTTCTTTACTTTACTTCTTTCTTTCTTTACCTTCTTTCTTTATATTCTTTCTTTCTTTCTTTCTTTACCTTTCTTTCTTTCTTTCTTTCTTTCTTTCTTTCTTTCTTTCTTTCTTTCTTTCCCTTACTTCTTTCTTTACCATTCTTTCTTTCTTTCTTTCTTTTTTCTTTCTTTCTTTCTTTCTTTCTTTCTTTCTTTCTTCTTTCTTTCCCTTACTTCTTTCTTTCTTTACTTTACTTCTTTCTTTCGTTCTTTCTTTCTTTCTTTCTTTACCTTACTTCTTTCTTTCTTTCTTTCTTTCTTTCTTTCTTTCTTTCTTTACCTTACTTCTTTCTTTCTTTCTTTTTTTTTTCTTTTCTTTCTTTCTTTCTTTCTTTCTTTCTTTCTTTCTTTCTTTCTTTCTTTACCTTACTTCTTTCTTTCTTTCTTTCTTTCTTTCTTTCTTTCTTTCTTTCTTTCTTTCTTTCTTTTACTTCTTTCTTTCTTTCTTTCTTTCTTTTTTCTTTACCTTACTTCTTTCTTTCTTTCTTTCTTTCTTTCTTTCTTTCTTTCTTTACCTTACTTCTTTCTTTCTTTACTTTACTTCTTTCTTTCGTTCTTTCTTTCTTTCTTTACCTTACTTCTTTCTTTCTTTCTTTCTTTTTTCTTTACCTTCTTTCTTTCTTTCTTTCTTTCTTTACCTTACTTCTTTCTTTCTTGACCTTACTTCTTTCTTTCTTTCTTTCTTTCTTTCTTTCTTTCTTTCTTTCTTTCTTTCTTTCTTTCTTTTTTTCTTCCAAAGTGTCATTTGTTCTTTTTTCTATTTTCTACTTTCTCCTTTTCTTTTTCCTTTTCTCTCCTTTTCTTCTTCTCTTTTCTCGTGATTTCATACATTTATTTTATAGTTTCTTTGATTTTTCTTTCTTTCTTTTATACCTATTTTTGTCTTCGACACTCTTTTTCTTACACTCACTTTATTTTCGTCTTATCTCTATTTTTCTGCTTTTAATTCTGTTTCCTTGTTTCTATTTCAGCCCAGCTATTTTTTCATTCTCCCAATTTTGTTAATTTATATTTACAGTTCTTTCTTTCTTTCTTTCTTTCTTTCTTTCTTTCTTAAGCATTCTTTTTCTATCTCTATTCCTTTCTTTCTTCCTTTCTTTCTTCCTTTCTTCCTTTCTTTCTTCCTTTCTTTAATTCCTTTCTTTCCTTACTTTCACTTACATATCTCACAATTGAATTCTTTTCTGTTGCTTTTCGTTTCTTCTTTTATTAAATTCTTTCTTCTTACCTACAACCCTTTGAATTTCTATCTTTCCTTTTCTTTGTTGGGCTTTTCATTATTCGCATATTTCTTTGCATTCCACTCCTACTTTACCATCCAACTGTTTCCTTTCTTCTTTTCTTTCATATTCTTTTGTAATCCAGTCTCTCTTACCTTCCAATCCACTGCTTGCTTGGTCAAGCGCCACCCTCAGCATGCGCAAACGCAGAATTAAACGCACACAATCCGCGCAGTCATGCGCAAGGGGACGACACGCGTCACACCACGAACGAATGCCTCCTTGCCTCTCGCTAGGATCCAATATCTTCGCATATATTCCATTTTATTTGTTCATCCCGTATGGAGGTGAGGACGTCTGCTGACGTTTGTATATCAGCGCGTGTCCGGTGATTGGGCTCTGTTAAGAGATACGCTGCTCGAGTATTGAGAGGTTAAAAACTAATAGGAAGATATTCGTTTCAGAGCAGCCATTTAACTTGATTAGTAACTAGAATTCCTCCCACTCGTATTTCTCTCGCTTAGATTCCAAAATGTTCATTTTGCATAAAATTACTATAGGAACCATCAGCATATAGATATTATAAATATCCTAACGAGTTTTTCGTAGTCAAATTTTTTTCTTTTTTAAGCAATAAAATCGTTAAAAAAAATTGCAACCCTGCCCATTTGATAACCTTGTGGCTTACAATTTCATCAATGAAAGATTAATCAACGATGAATTGGATGCTGATTCGTGTTTAGTCTAAAATTATTTCTTTATTTCCCGCTTGTGTAGCATAGTTTGAAGGCGGAAGAAGTGATCGGCAAATAAAGGAAAAAATATTTACGAAAAAAAATCCACCAAAACGATGACGAAAGAACGCTATAGATAATCGAAAATACAGCGAGTAACAAAATCGAAATTTAAGGAAAGCGGCAGGTAAATCCAATAAAAAAAGTGCCTCAAAATAATGAAGAAGGAACGCTAGAGAACGTGAAACAATAAAAAAAGGTAAATAAAAGAACCAAAATTTAAAAAACAAAACAAAAAACAAAACAAATGACAGAAAATTATGTAAGCATAAGGCTCTAGATAATCAACAATACAGCGTGGAATAAAATCACAATTTAAGGGAACTGGCAGATGAATACAAATTAGAATTCTTGCTTGATCCTAACAACCTTGGTAGTCTAAAAGATTAAGTTGTTGTTCATGAAGAGGTGCTCCTCAAATATACGTATATATATATATATATATATATATATATATATATATATATATACATATATATATATATATATATACAAATATATATATATATATATATATATATATATATATATATATATATATATATATATATATATATATATATATATATACACAAATATATATATATATATATATATATATATATATATATATATACACAAATATATATACAAATATACACAAATATATATATATACAAAAATATATATATATACACACAAATATATATACAAATATATAAACAAAATATATATATAAATATAATTATATATATAAATATGTATATATATAGAAATATATATATATATAAATATAATTATATATTAAGAAATGGACAAAGTCCGACAATTTATTTTATTAAAGACATTTTATGTTTAACGTACTTTTTTATAGATACAAGTATTTAAGTAAATATCTGTTTATAATAAACAGTATTAAATAACATTTACCGGCCTGAATACTTGAGAAATTTCATAGAAAATATTCGTCCTTTGACAGGATTCGAACCTGCATCCTATATATTATATTATATAATTATATAAATATATATATATAAATATATATAAATCTATATATATATAAATATACAAATATATTTATATAATATATATATATAATTATATAAATATATATATAAATATATATGTATAATATATATATATAAATATATACATACACATATAAATATATATATATATATATATATATATATAATATATATATATAAATCTACATGTATAAATATAAATATAAATATATATACAAATTTATATATAAATATATATATATATATATAAATATATATATACATCTATATATATATATATATATATATATATATATATATATATATATATATATATATATATATATATATATATATATATGTATGTATATAAATAAAAAAAAAAAACAGTAAGATATATATATAAATATAGATGTATAAAGATATACATCTATCTATATATATATATATAAATATATATATATATATATATATATATATATATATATATATATATATATATATATATATATATATATATATATATATATATATATATAATATGTATGTATATAAATAAAAGAAAAAACAGTAAGATATATATTCAGGAAGCACTTAATAAAAGAAGAAAACAAGACACCCCCCACACACACGTTATCATAAAACTCATGGAGCATGTCCTTACATTGAATACCTTCATCTTCAATGGAGCACACTACCTTCAAATAAGAGGTTGTGCCATGGGCACCATTGCAGCTCCATCATATGCTATAATATTCATGGGAAAATTTGAGGAGACCCATATCTATCCCCTCATTGGTAGCGACTGCGTATTCTATGCAAGATATATCGATGATATATTCTCTGTATACACGGGTAGTGATGACAATCTTATCCAATTCCTCATGACCCTAAACACAGTGCACGACTCAATTCAGTTTGACTATGAAAAATCCACAACATCAGTAACATTTTTAAACACCCGCATATACATAGATGAAAGCAGGAAACTACAAACTACACTACACACTAAAATCACCGACACCCACAACTATCTACACTTTAAGTCTTCCCACCCTAAACACCTCAAAGAGAACCTTCCCTATTCACAAGCACTTAGACTCAGAAGGATATGTTCCAACAATGAAGAATTAAATAAACACATTACAAATCTGGAGCATCAATTCACAACACGTTGCTATAAACAACACCTAATCAGGGAACAAATAAATAAAGCAATTTCCACACCTAGAGAAGACACCCTAATGTACAAGATTAAAAATAAATCTAGCCGCATTCCTCTAGTAACCACTTTCAACCTCACTCTGCCTCCACTATCCCAAATAATCAAACGTCGCTGGGAAATACTACATCTCAAACCAGACCTAAAAAAACTGTTTAAGGAACCCGGCCTTCTAGCATATCGTAGACCTAAGAACCTAAAAGAAATCATAGGTAGTAACCAAATTTCAGGGGACAAGGTAATCCGTAATAAACAAACAACAAAAACAACAGGATTTTCCCAACCATGTAACAACAAAAGAAGTTTATGCTGCAACCATATTAAACACACGAATTCATTTACTAGCTCAGTCACTAAATCTACTTTCAAAATCTACCACGATTCTAACTGTAGAAGTCATAACATAATTTACCTCCTAGAATGCACACTATGCCAGAAACAATATGTAGGAACATATAAATAACCCTTTCCCTACAGAATTAATAATTATTGCAATCGAATTAAGTCGACTCCCCATGAAAAATTATTACCTGTAGAACATTTCCGCCTAGAAAAACACGATTTCAAAACCTATGCCAAATTCACTATAATTGAGAGAATAGAAAAGTTCTGAGCAGATAACATTAGAAAGATTTTAGAGTTCCATGAAAATAAGTGGATACAACGTCTAAAACACACTATCCAGCCGGGCTAAACCATAAATTTAACAATATAGATAGTCTTAATATATAACCCTACAAATCAAAACCTACCCACATTTCTCACCCACACAAGACAGACATGCTTATGGAGGTGTTGAGGCCTCACACTTATACACACACCCACACGAACATACACACTTACACACATCATACTCACTCACTCCCTAACGAGCCAAATGATAACACACACCTACAGCAATATACACGCTTACACATATCATACTTACTCACTCCCTAAGAACCAAATAACACACACACACACACACACACACACACACACACACACACACACACACACACACACTTAACAGAGACACATCCCCTCTCCAGGAACCAATAAAACAGTCAAACTGACGAGGGGAATTCAGAGCAGCATGGATCGATCCAGCTCTTATCTCAAATAACAACTTAAAAGAGACTGTTTGACCAACACAAGGAATGTTAAAAGATTCATGTGAAAAAGATAAAAAAATTAAAACAAAACAAATGAAAACTACAGACAAAAGTTCATTTTCTCCATCAAGACATTCATTTCTGTAGTTTACTGCTACCAGCAAACAGAAATATTCCTTCTCCTGATGATGGCCATGTTGGCTGAAACTAGTCGAGGTATCTAAATGAAATAATAATAATAAAAACGAAAGAATATTAATCAACAACCCAGTGTGTCTGAAGATTTTAATTTTTTAATATTTTTATTGTTCTAAATAAAATATTTAAATATATATATAGCACGTTGGTATGTACACTGTAAAATCGTTCTTATATGTCATTTCAGGGCAAAATCAGAATAATTGTTTTTTTGCTCATTTATTATAAGAAGTCTTTGGCCCTAACATATTTATAGTTTTAGCACACTGCCTTCTGCTCATGTGCTTATAGTTGGTTCTATTGAGGTCACGTGATCGAAGTTTTAGCTCGATCGTGCCTGTTTTATTGCAACTGCTACAGTACTACTAGTGGCCGCTCCACTAGTAGTGTGCATCAAGGAGAAACAAGATATGTTATAGCGAAAGTGTGGATAACTTTTAATTTACCCTTGTACCTGGATATTGTCTTAATTGTAATTATTATAGACATGACGTTTCGGCCAAGTACCCTAGGTCCTTATTCAGGTGTCCTCTATTTGGGTGTATGTTATATGTATTGATCATAATTGTGATATGGTTTCTTTTTTGTTCTCGCTAAATCAGAGTACATTATTTCAGTACCAGCTTTAGGGATTGAACTCGTGACAACTTGATGACAGCATGTGTTGATTAACCTACTCTTATACGCACTGCGCCACCCGGTATCAGTGGTGTGTTTTTGTCTGTTAATTTATTGTTGTAAAATCGGTGGTTTACGTGTATATGCATTCTCGAGGTAAATCTAAAGTAGCACATGACGAGTACTTAGTTGTCCACAGGATTTCCATCGTATTCTTTGTTAAGTGTCATATTACGAAATACGAGAGACTGTTTCGGATTCTCCTGTCTGGTTCGTTTGGGATGTGCGGGCAACACCTGTACTA